CGGAGGAACAATGGAACCGCGTGTTCGACAACCCTCAATCTGTCAATGAGGAGAGAGCCGGAGATGCCGTTGAAGTCTGTTTGGCTACGCTTTATTTCACGACATTGTTTCCTGTTGAATTCCGATTTTGGGGGGATCCATTCGAGAACTACGCCGGCTTGGAACATTCGATTAGGTCGTTTGCGGTTTCCGCTGGATGTATTCCTACGTCTGGATCTCAGCGCTCTCCACCTGGTGCCCCACTGTCGTCAGAGGTACTCAATATGGGACAGAAGTTTGCTACGGTCTTGGGTAGTCCAGCCGTGACCATCACTCTGGAGGAGTACTATGCGCTTCTTAAGAAGATGAAAGATGGCCCGGTTGAATCAGGACCAATTGTCAGGGAAGAGCCCGAAGACGCTGAGGGGACGGACGCCTCACCGGAGCCTGGCATCGTTGAGTCTGCGCTGTACGAGGGCGAAGGTGAAGTTCTAGGCGATGACGCTGCCACCTCCCCACAGGATGAGATTGGTGCAGATGATCAAGATGACGCCGAGGCACCACCGACGCCAATCTCTACGAAGAAGAGGAGGATTGGGGCTTCGTTACAGGAGCTCATGACTCAAGCAGACAATCTCAAAGTTTGTCCGGTTTGCTGGGTGGAGCATCCAGACTTTACATGTCCACGAGCGGGTGAAAGTCAAGCACTCTACACCGCGTTGTCGCGCTTGTTAGAAGGAGGAGCCGCCGTTCAAGCCTCTTTGCCAACCGAGGCAACGTCTACCGCTGGAGTTAACGTGACTGAGCCTGGCGATGTGGACATGGATGTAGACAACCAGAAGGACGACATCGGCGACTCCCAAGACCAACCCACCGCTGCAGAGAGCGAAGATGTTACAGACATCGAAGTCGACAAATCTGAGAACATGGAGATAAGGGACGAACCTCCCACTATTTTGCCTGAGGCAAAACCCCGCACGAAAGCCCGTCCTATCCGGAAGCTGGCTACGAACAAGATGTCCGGTGACGAGTCAAGTGCAGCGAAAAGTGCTCCGTTTCTTGATTTGGAAGGTGACGTCTCTCCTCTGGGTAAGCCCCGGAGTCGGAATCAGTGGACATTTCGAATGTCCAGCAGCTCAAGAATCAGGTCCCACAGTTTCTGGAGTATGCATCACCTAGGCCGTTCCATTCAGGACACTTCGTCAACTCTGAGGGCGAGGTAGACTGGACAAGAGGCAAACCTCCCCTGAAGGGATGGGTCACCAGCCTCAAGACCTTGGAGATGTTGGTTTCTATCTTCCAAGGAAACGAGGACCGCGAAGGAAATGATTTCGACTTCGGGGGGACATCCCAATTCCTTGACCAAGAGAGAGAGCAGAACTTGGTTGCCTCGCTGATTGACAACCGGACCGGACGTATCAGGTTCCTGGATGAAGCTTACCACTGCCTGGGGAAATGGGGTGATCGAAGTTGTGAATTTATCCCTGATGAGATTTACCATGCCGGAAAGCGACTCTCGATCTGGCTCCAACACCTATGGTTACGTGGCAGCCATACCACGAACGTCAACCGAGGAGGATGGGCCAGCATAGATGAGATCGTAAAGGATGAAGCCTTTTGGGCGAATGTATACAAAGAGTTGATCCGGCAGGGACATGATGTATCACCGGACGTGGCTCATCGCACTCATGATCGACAACGAACTCTGGAATTGGGGACGAAACAAGAAAAGGATGGAGTTCACAGGTGCCCGTCTACACCCCGACATGTCAGATGAGCAGTTGGCAGCATTGCAGGATACCCTGGTCAAAGCTGCGAGAGTAGACAGTGCCTCAAAGGCAAAGCATCTCCCGTTCGCGGGTTGGGTTAGGCCCCTCGTGGTGAGAGCTGTGTCCGGTCACTCGAACGGATCGGTTGATCTGGAACTCACTACCATACCGATCACCGACAAGGTGAAGGATGCATCACGAGCCGCTACAATCTCATTTGGATAGCGCAACAGGGTCTGCTCCCAGGAGGACCACGTCACACGCGTGCGGATATACACTTCTCTGCGTTTGCTCCATGGGATACGAGATACAGGTCTAACTTCGCCAACAGATTCACGAATGAGGGGGAGAAGGGGATGGTCATCTATGTGCCCATAACGATTCTCCAGGAGATGGGAGCCCGCCTTGCTTCGAACGGCGTGATTCTCTGCCGTGAAAAGGTGCCATACACTGCAATTCAGGCAATCTTCGAGCTTGATGGTGTACGAGGCATGGGCCCAAGAATCCAGCCGCCCTCACTTGTGGATGAGTATGTGTGCGCAACAATGGATGGTGAGGACGGTGTGCGAGCCAGTGAAAGATACATCATGAAAGTTGCAGCTCAGTGTAAGGACGACCTTGAGATCCCCTTCACGTTCCGCAACAATGTGGCGTTGGCGCTGCAGAAAGTCCAGAGCGGCCATCCGACAGAAAATCAGGCGAAAGAGATCATCAACCACATCACTCGAGCCATTGTCCACTCAAGTCCCAAGTTTGAATGCAGCTGCAGATGGTGCCCTTGGTGTTTGGGTGTTATCCCGGCTTCGATTATTCGATGCTTGTTCTGCAATGCACAGATGATTTCAGTGGATCGCTTTATGGACCAGAGTAGTTTGGGTAAGCCCCGCTCTCTGGATTCAGAGATCGTCATTGAAATCTCTGAAGAAAACATCGCCGACATTGATGTTGCAGTTCAGCCCGAGATTGAGGAACCACAGGATGAGGCCCGTGCTGCGCAAGAAGAGCAAAATCAAGTCGATGCAGGCGTTGAGGCAATCATGGCAGTGACACACTTGAGGATGAGGAGAAAGCTGTCGATGAGTACGGCGAGGTTGAGGACTTTGCGGAGGAATACCTCACGATATCAAATGATGTTGCAAAGGAACCCGCTGCAATCTGTCTCAACACCGAAGAAATTGGCAGAACTTATGACGAATTGTTGGGCTACATCATTTTCCAACGTTGCGACATCCTCGACGTCTACGAGTACTTTACCCCGTTCGCCAAGAGTCAGTTCTTTTGTCCTGCCAACATTGATCCCGAGACGAGGTTGCCGCGAGCACCCACCAAAGAGGAGTACATCTCTTGGGCACGGGACGGAGAAAGGGAGCAGTACCAAGCGGCCAGAAATGAAGACATGCTCAGGAAGAAGTACACGCCCGCACACTCGTCGCTTCTCCCGTGTGATAATTTGGACATTTGCTATGAGGTGATCAAGATTCACGAAATTATGTGGAATATCTTCCTTTGGGCCTATACGACTATGAACGTCAATGAGTTCCTGACTCCCTTCATCGCGGTCAATGAGGACGGTTACCGAAAGATTCGCCCAAATCAAGGCGCTGGTCAGCGAGGGATGATCAGTACAAGGGTGCGATCTTTGCTATCCAACGCCCTAGGCATCAAGAAGTATCGCTATGTTGGTTATCGTGACATGCCAAAGGAGCGCCTGGTCGATGGTGTCTATCATATTTGTCTTGAAGGACTGTATGAAGGACAACAGCGTCGTGATCGAATGGATCCAGAAATGATGTACCTTGCGGTACAGACCGGTCTCCGACTTGGGATGGAATACCAGAAGCGGTGCGACAAGGTCGTAGTCAGGACAATCAACGGATCCATCGCCGACAAGAAGATGAAGGAGGAGATGGACAGGTGGAAGAAGCAGGCGCGCACTTCGACTTTCCGCCAGAACATGCTACAGATTGGCAACCAAGTTGGAGCCGGACAGACCTACACCGCCAGCTTCCCCTCCGACATTGACACGATGGATTAAAATTTGAGCACACTTCCCGATCGCCATTTTGGCGCGCCACGGGGGCGGTATTTTGGGATTTTCCCGATACCACATGCTTACAATTTTGCATCATGGATTTCCTGATGCCGTCTGAGTGTGCTAAAGAATGTTTCACCATGCCAATGATGACCTTTGAGTTAGCCTCGGGTCAAATGTACATTGTTGTAACTTTGCTTGGATCTACGCATCTTTGCTGAATGCAAAATGAAGGATCTCCTGCTTTCGTCTCACATGACAAGTCAAAACTCGACGTGGGGGGTGTGTATTTGTATGGATGCTACCCTTTCCATTGTCGTTTAGGTAGCAGGTAGTTTTCCTTATGCGGAATTGCCCTTATAAATTTGGTTCAAGGTTCCCCTTTGAGGCTGATTGAAGTAGGGAGGTCACTTGCCCTGCCATAACATTCGGGTATTCCGCAATCGCTGAGCTGAGCTACGAGTTACACCATTCGAAGTCAAAAGAGCGTTTGAGCTTTGGGTTGCTGGGAAGTATTCGCCTGACCAGTTGACCTTTTACACAAATAAGTGTCACAGCCATCCGTGGGAAAGAACAGTCAATCGGGCAGCTGCTAAGTCGTATGTTGTGGGTCTGCTGTTTCTTGTGCTGAGCCAGTTTCCTGAATGCGTGTTCCGTACCTGGTGTACCCGACCTGAGCGACCGGACATCGCTTGGGCTGGGCGCAGTGCGCCGGCTGGTCCGTGAGGGGTCAGCTCAGCCTGCAGAAGAAGAAGAAAAAGAGAAGAAGAAGAAAAAGAGAAGAAGAAGAAGAAGAAAAAGAGGACAGGAGAGAGAGAGGAGAGAGCAGAGAAGAGAGAGAGGAGAGAAGAGGAGACAAGATACAGTGAGGAGAGAAGAGAGAGGGGAGGAGA